TTTTCAGTTGTTACAAACAGTATTAATTGGTATTCAGTTATTATTTTTAAAGTTGCTTCAGCATAGATATCTTTCTTTTGTTGTGTTTTTTGTTTCATGGTCATTAAGCACAGTACACCTGTTTCAGAAACAGTACGGGTGAACTGATGATTTTTTTTTTCCCGGGGCTGCGGTGTCAGTAATTAAGTGATTACGTACTTAATAGTGATTAAGCAATATTCCTTTTTCATCTTGTCTCATTAAATCGCTGCCTGCATTGAAGGTTAAATCCGATTAATCGATTCAAATAAGGGACAAATAGCTCAGGTGGGTCGAACATCGGAGTCCAGAAAAAGACTTTCAGGACAGTGGGTGTGTTGCTCACATCTGACCAGGAGGGGGCATCCTGGTTCCACTTTCCAGGTTCCGGGAGAGTCTCCTATATCTGATCTACAGGTACCGGCTGATCTGCGACTTCCTGTCCGTTTCAGTCCAGGTGCCGTCTTTGATTTCATCCAGTCCAGGTGTTTGTTAAAGTCCATCCAGCTCCTGGATTGAACAGTTGTGCTCATTTTCATCTCATCCAGCAACGAGCAAACTGGCTGTGTCCACGTCCCGCAGTGGAGGTGGCCCGAGGAGTCACGTCCTCTGTCTTCGTACCTCTAACTTCTGCTCCCCCCCAGACTCGTTCCGCACAAACATCTGTCTGCAGCAGGTGAACCTTACTGGGCTCAATTGCAGCTTGGAGTGCCTGTCTGTGTGGAGTCGGCGTGTTCCCCCAGGCTGCAGTGGGCTTTCAGGGACTGCTCACTGTGGTGACATCTGTGCACAAGACATCGGGAATCCCTGCCCCTGGAACAATGAGAGAGAAAAGGCTCAAATCAAGCACATGGGCCTGTGCCGCTTCTGCAGTTGTATAACAGATCTCTTACTGAGTGGAATTATCATTATAAATAAAAACACTGCTATAAGAAGCAAGCCTCTCACATTGTCCTGTTCTGATTTTTTTCTTGGTCTCCCTGATCTCTCTGAGTGGCTGATGCTTTCTCTGGACACACACACAGCCACGCACACACGGACACGTGCACATACACAGAGCACAGAACATTCCAAACCTCCTGCAGATCTCCTGCAGGCAGCTGGAGCGATGTAGTGCAGTAATGGTCTGTGCCTGTTACTGTAGGGCAGTAATGCAGTGTGTGGGTTTCTGGTACAGGAATGGTCTGTGTGTGTGTGTTTTTGTGGTACAGTAATAGTCTGTGTGTGTGTTCTTGTGGTACAGAAATGGTCTGTGTGTTTTTATGGAGCACTAATGGTCTGTATGTCTGTTTGTGGTGCAGTAATGGTCTGTGTGTTTTTGCAATGCAGTAATGCGCTGTGTACACCCTCTCCTTCATTAGCAGTGGTCCCTGCTGGCTGATGTGTGGTGATTTGTAGTGTCCAGGCACTAACACTGCTCATGAAGGGCATTTCAGTGGAGACTGGCTTAGGCACAGTCAAGGCTGTTGAGACTTCCAATCAGGGGACTGAAGCTGAGATCTCCTGGCAGCTGAGGTTTCATGACATCAAAGGGAATCACTTCTGCCTCACAGCTCCACGGACCCAGGTTCGATTTCTGCTTGGGGTGCCTGTCTGTGTGGAGTTTGCATGCTCCTCTCATGCAAAAGTGGGCTTTCTTTGCCAGCTGTTGCCCCCCTCACACTGTCCACAAACATGCAGGTGAGAACTGATGGGCTACACATAAATAATTTCTTTTCAGGGGGAATCTCACCCTTCTGAGGGGGTTTGTTCACAGTAATGTTGAGTTTCTTAGTGCTGTATTTAATTATAAAGGTCTTCGAAGCTGGATTCCCTATAACACCTGCAGGTCCAGGTTCAGGAAGGGGAATCGCTGCCTTCACACAAGAGGTCAGAATGACCGATGGCAAAATGGGAGATCTTACTATTCCCATGGAGTGTGTGCTCCCATCCGGGGTGACCAGCTGAGGACCAGCATACCTCACAGGTCACCTTTAAACGGCCAGTTTGTAAAGATTTGGAACGTGCGGCTTCTGCTCAGTTTAGGACATTAAATCAGGAGAGGTCAACCACGGACCCCGACGTCTACAGTGAGCAAATCACCAGTCTCAGTGGTCAAAGCAAAATCGCGGCAAAATGATTTGAAATTGATAATTGGAGGGCGACCAATTAAACCAGCTGGACTGAGGGCTGTGAAACCAGCCAGCAGAGCAGAGGCTGAGAAGTGCACAGCTTCAGTCTAGCTGCTATGGGATTACCTCAGCCTGTGGCTTAATTAAGCACTTCATTTAGAACAGTCCTG